CAAGACTGATATAAGAGAGAGGCAGACAGGGACGATCACGACATAATCCGGTAACGGCACGCTGCTGTCCCCTCTATGTTCTCATACTTACTTGCGCCATCTCCCCGGCTGATTTTGCCATGTTCAATCACGACATTGGCTGTGACCGCCTGCCATTTCAAGAGGCATTGCTGAAAAATTCAATTTCCTCATGCCTTGGGGAAATCACGCAATACTTGCGCTTCCGGCGTCTCCGCCCAACCGGAATGGCTTATGTCATCAGCATCCGCTTGGAAGCTCTCCTGTTCACTGTCCCTTATGGAACAAGCGTGGAACACAGGAGAATGAGCATTATTAATGCAGATGAGAAGTATTCATCCGAGCTGCAGACAGAGATTGCTCTGCTCGTCTTATCAGCTCCAGGGCTGCATCCGAAATGAGCCCGTGGTCTATCTAATCGCCTGCTAGGGTCTCTGGTTGGTGTATCAGCAAGCGTCGAAACGAGGGGAAGTAAATGTCTTACATGACACCGAATCATGATCCTGTTGTTCATCTAGACATTTAGACAATCAGTGCATAAGTCCGAATATAGAGACCTAGTATGGCCTTTATTTGTTCGGACAACTGGCGTCGCAGCCCAAGTTTTAATACTTGGCTGGTTTGATCAGCTGCTGATGTTTCTGCCGGGCGGCGAAGCGCCAAGCTTACTCTCCTACACGTGATTCATGTTTTCCTATTTGGGACTCCCCCACCACGTGCCGCCCACCGGCCGATCGACACAGGGAACTGACAAACTACCGACGACGTACTGCGACTAGTCAGAGTCAACCATCCCCGTTATCATATCATTATTATTCTTCTCTCGGACTGGCTGTTTACTTTGAGTCTCCAGTCCTCTACCAGGGTGCCTTTTGGACGATCGCTTTCGGTTGTTTGTGAAAAAGACCGCCGCTTATCCGCTCTATCGTTCTGCCCCTCTCTTCAATCACAAGAGACCTTGTCCGACGTTGCGACACAATGGCAGCACCCAACCCTATAGCACGTCCAACGCGTCCGGTGCTACGACAGTCTCTTTCGAGTAACTCCTTTATCCAGGACCATCAGCAGTATAAGCCCCCGGTTTCATTCACTCAAAACATCGAAGATGTCCTAGGAGCCTCCCGCGAGTCTCTACTACAGTCGCTCTCTAATCTCCATGTTAACCCCATCAGCCCAGACCCCGAAAAGGTCACTGAAAGCGGCATTGTTCACACCATTTTCAATCATCAGACAAATTCCCTTCCTACTGGAACTCCAAAACTGGTAGCAACTATCATCTACAAGTCCGCCAATCCCGTTCATCCTCATCTCCATCCCGACTCTTCCCCAAATGCGAATAAGCTCCCGTCCCCCATGGTTCCTGTGGGATCCGCCCCGACGGTTGATATTGAGAAGCTCCCACGGGAGCCTCCAGCTCCGGAGCCGGAGCCACTCGACCATCTGTACGGTCCGTTCGTCTCCCAGCTGTGTTTGACCAATTTCCTCCAGATTATGGAATCCCTCTCGACGCCTTACCAGCGCATGAATACCTCTCATCGCTGCTTGGATCAGGACGATCAGCCGCGCGTCGTCGAGGTTACTCTCTCTCCTCCGCCGAACCCCGAGTATCTTTCTTTCGATGACCTTCGCAAACACGAGAGCATATGGCGGTTCGAGCGCGAATGGAACGTCGAGGTGGTCCTTCAGAAGGAAAGCGTCTTCCGTCGTCACAAGCGTCTGGTCGTCTTCGATATGGACAGCACTTTGATCCAGAATGAGGTGATTGACGAAATTGCCAAATTCGTTGGCGTTGAGAAGGAAGTCTCGGTTCGTAGCGGACAGCTTCAAGTATAATGAATAGCACAACGACTAACTTTGGGCGGCCAGGAAATTACTGAACGTGCCATGAACGGAGAGCTTGACTTCTCCGCGTCGCTTAAAGAGCGTGTCGGTCTCTTGAAGGGCGTTCCAGCTGACGTGTTCGAGAAGTTGAAACCTGTACTCACCGTTTCGCCTGGCGCTCGCGAACTGTGCAAAGCTCTGAAGAAGCTCGGTTGCAAACTCGCGGTTTTGAGTGGAGGATTCCAGCCTCTGGCCGAATGGCTCGCTGGCCAACTCGGCATCGACTATGCGTATGCCAATCACGTGGGTTGCCCTGGTTCCTCATGCCGACTTCCTTAAGCCAATCATGGACTAATATCCATTTTTAGCTCGAAATCGACGAGGCGTCTCAAACTCTCACCGGCAAGCTTGTACCCACTCACCCTATTATTGATGCAAGCAAGAAGCGTGAGCTTCTCAAGTCTCTCGCGGCGGAGAACGGCATTCCAATCACCCAGGTTGTTTCTGTCGGCGACGGTGCGAACGACCTTCTTATGCTTCATGCGGCTGGTCTTGGAGTTGCCTGGCGCGCCAAGTCCAAGGTCCAGCTTGAGGCACCGACTCGTCTCAATGGTGAGAGTATGTTGGACATTCTCTATCTCTTTGGTATGACGAAAGAGGACATCAAGGAGTTGGTTTTCGACGACGCTTGAAAGCCATGCTTTCATAGTTTGGTTCCATCGATACATATCACTCTTACCACAAATGCTCTTTTAAATGAAAGGAGAGCACGGGAAGCATCCGCCTGGTGCGGACAGGCCCTCACTTCAAACTGTCTGTCAACAAGCAAAGAGAGCATTAGACGAAGGTTTCTTGCTTTCGATCCCTTATTGTCTTTGGCCTAGGGGGCTCGGATTTGATATGTGCGAGCTATCTACTCTCTTTTTCTTCTTACTATCATCTTCCGCCTTTTATTTCGCAAATCTCTTTTCGGATACCGATTCTGTTTGAGGCAGTGGGTTGTTGGGTCGTTCAAGCGTACGGAGTATAGCGTCTCATGCGGGCGTAGGGTGTGCAAGAGAGGGTTGGTAGATATGCATGAAACTTTACGAATACCAAATAGCAAACATGCACACAATGATTCCAACTCATTGATATTGTATCGTATTTGACGAATTTCAACCCGTCACACTGATATGATGATCTGTGTCATATAATAGGCCCAAGCGATGAATACTGCAGTGATGATCATACCCGAAGCGAATCCGACGAAAAACCAACAGGCGCCGATAAATGATCCTAAAGACGCAAAAGACAGGAATAGAGAGAACCTCTGCAAAAATTCACCGCGTAACCTCGTCCACGGCAACTGGCCGATCGCCGACCGTTTCCGTACCTCCAGAGGCAGCTCTTCTCTTCTTCAGCACATTCTCAATGAACGCCTCGCCGGCCTTGTAGCTGCTCCGAACGAGAGGACCTGACGCACAGTAGAGGAAGCCCATGTCAAGCGCCCGCTGGCGCCACAGCTCGAACCGATCCGGAGTAACGTACTCATGCACAGCCATGTGACGCTTCGTCGGCCGCATGTACTGCCCGAACGTGACAACGTCAACGTTCACCGCGCGCAGCTGGCGCAGCGCATCCCACAGTTGCTCATCCGTCTCCCCGAGACCAAGCATCAGCGAGGTCTTGGTGATAAGCGAGGGCTGGGCGTTCTTCGCCGCCTCGAGCACACGGATAGACTGCTGGAAGTTGGCACGGCGATCACGGACCTGAGGCGTCAGGGCTTCTACTGTCTCGACGTTGTGCGCGTACACGTCTAATCCGGAGCGAGCAACCAGCTTCACCATTTCCAGATCGCCCGCGTAATCACCGGTCAAGCACTCGACCAGGATACTAGGTGCCTTCTGTTTGATTTTCATCACCGTCTCTGCAAAGTGCCGGGCACCTCCGTCGGCTAGATCGTCCCGATCAACGCTGGTCAGGACCACGTATCCGAGTCCCCAGCGGGAGATCGCTTCGGCTGTGTTCTCCGGTTCGTGCGGGTCGAGCGGGGCCGGCGTCCGTGAGGTCTTCACGCTGCAGAATCGGCAGCCGCGGGTGCAGGTATCGCCCATCAGCATGATGGTGGCTGTGGCGGCGGATTTGTCGCTGCCGCCCCAGCAGTCGGAGATGTTGGGACACCGCGCTTCCTCGCAGACAGTGTGCAGATTAAGGCCGCGCAGATCCTTCTTAAGACGCTGGTAGTTCTTCGAGTCGGGGATCGGGGTCTTCAGCCATGACGGCAGACGGGTCATTTCCTTCTTGCGGCCGGCGGGCCCGACGAGGGCGGTCTTGAGAGCGTATGCTTCGGAGGCGTCGAGAGGGGCATTGTCGTTCCCGACAAAGTCTGCAAACGATGGGCCGGCATTTAATTTGTCTTTGAACGTTGTCCGTCTCCGTGCTGTTGTTGTCGTTGTAGTGCTGGTGGCTGATGGCGAGGGTTCTGTTGTAGCATAGCCACGGCAGCTGATGGGGGCAGCGATTCCGGTTCGCGACAGGGACCTTGATGACGCACAGAGCGATCTGAAGTGACTTGTTGATACTGCCATTATGAAAGTTCTGGAGTGGTTATGTGGACGATATGAGGATTGGTAGAGTGACCATCGATGGTATTAAATTATAATTATCAGTATGATAATATTCCGCGGGAAAGGCCCCAGCAACTCCGGCGACCCAACGATTACCTCCGACGCTGACTCATCTAGATTAACTGCCTTCGGATCGTTGCCTGAGGTTTCCGCGTATGGTGCTAGGGACTAAGCACCGAGTAGGATCACTTTGATAGATTGGAGTCATTGGACTATAGATCAGAACTACTGTTGGAGTATCGTTTGATTGCCCTTAATTAACTTCTCTGTAACCATACACCAGCCACGGCCGCCAATGATATACAACACAAAGGAAAAGCGTGCCAAATTTGGACTCCAAATGGCAGGTATATAGAACGCAGTGGTCTAAACAGCAAGTGAACGACATATTCAGGAGTGATCGGAACTGAGGGAATAAAGCAAATATATAAGACCGACGGTGGTACCTGTAGTGCTCACCATAAGGGCATGAAAGTCATTCTGGATAAAATGACGAAAAGAAGATTGAGAAAATAAAAAAGAAAGAGATCGGAAGCCCAGCTTATATCAAAGCTAGGCTTTGGATTCAAGCACCTGGGCTAAAACGAGTACAGCGGATTTCAACGTTTCATCAGACCGGCCGCTCACTGCGAACAGCAGGTTGTCAACAATTCGGTCCAAATCTGTACGAAGCTCTGTACTTCGCGGTCCCAGCACACGGTCTCTGATACGGGACGGTGATGTTGGAGTGAATTGCGTTGCTGGCGTTGAGCTTGGCTTCTCAGGGACTGGATCCAAGCGGGACAATGTCGACCGATAGGATAAGCTGCTGGTCCCTCGATGGGTAGAAGCCAACGAGGCCACATAGTTTCGTGCTATCAAGACCGCACAGAGACAGTCAAGCAGATTTTCCGCGACGTCTGGGAATATTTTACGAAACGGTCGAATCAACGCCTTCTCGTTGTTTTGACGAAGGAACATTATGACAGGGGACGTGAGTTTCAACATGTTCCGTGGAAAATCTTTGACGGATTGCTCCAGCTGTTCGATAGTCCATTCATGGTCCCACCACCTTCGTTCTTCCTTCTCTGACATATTGGACGACCGCGCTGGGGGGGTTTGGCTCTTCGGCGGAGAGTCGGCTCTAGTCCCAGGCTTTGGTTTGGGTGGCGAGAAGGGCGGTCCTTCTTTGAGAACCAGCTTGTCACACACTATCGTTTCGCTAGCTGTTTCTGAATGGGTTGAAATGGAATCCGTATAATGCGACTCCTTGTCATCCTGAAACTCGTCTGGCGAGTAACAGGAATTATGGGTAGCATAACCACTATCTGACATCTCCAGTGGAGTGTCAGGACTGAAGGCAGATATTTCTTGTTGGTGCATGTCGGGAGTGGAAGGGACTGGATGCTGTGTAGTATTTGGGAGCGTGTGGCTCATGGCGGGAGATGACTGTCGGGATATATCAACCAGTTTGGGCTTAGTTATGCTGCAGCTGGTGAGATCGAGAATCTGCTTTTGTATTAGTAGAATAAACGAACTAGTAGCTCTCAGACGGAGACTTACCACAGCTTCATCTGTAGCCTCCAACTCACGTTTGCCTTCCAGACGTGGAGGGCTGTTTTGGACTATCTGACACTTTCTCCGATTCAGTTCTTTTGATCTCTCGTCCTTCATATCTAGCGTCCCCGGAACACCTTGAAGCCATCTCTCAAAGTATGAGAGATTACTTGGCATCCAGCTACTTCCCTCGCTTGAGATAGTTCCTGTCCGGCTTCTCTGGGCCGTCACAACACAGCTAGAAGCTGTCCCCAGCTCTGGTAGCTCAATATCGGAGAATTCAGAGGGGGATAATGTTCGTTCCGAATCGGTGGAGGCTGGTGTGAATCGTCCCTCGTCAGACTCACATCGTTTGACCAGGTTGGAGTACGCCGCATGGACATTGGTTGGTTCCCGTGTCGCCCTTTCCTCTGCTTTGGAAACCTTACCGCGCGCACCGTCGCAAGCGTCGCATGAGTTGAAATCAGGAATACAACAGCAATGTTTCATTCGTCTCTCACCCGCCTCCATCTCAGAATCCGGTTTGGGTGAGAAGTACGTCGACGATGTGGATGGGCGCGATTCTCTGGAGTCAGACAGAGGGGGGCTCGGCAGAAGTCCGAATGTCTCCAGACTCGAAGCCAAGTTCATGTCCGATCGCCATGTTCGCAGTGTCTGATTCCCAGACATTGGCCTTGCCGCTTTCGACTCCCTTGCGGCGGCTGTGATGTTCTCCAACGAAGGGGAGCTGGGTAGGCGCAGTTGGAAAGGTTCCTTCATCTTCCGCACAGAACGAAAAGGCGAAATGCAGATGGGACCCCGGTCTGCCGGCCGTCTTGATTGTGAAGTCGTGTGGTCAGGTAGTTGCTCAGGCCGAGGAAATGTTGGTGGCATGAAAGACAGAGAACTCGTCATCTGCTTCCTTCTCCGAGGCCGATAGTCTTCCGAAAGACAGGCTGATACATGTGCATTATCCTGTGCCACGGAACCTTCTCGGGGCACACAGTAGGATGGTACGGGATAGGCGGACATTGTATGCTCATGATAGGTTGGTCTCGAGAACATCCGAGGAGATGGATGGTTCGTGGAGGACATGTTGCATGCAGAGTCGTGAGAAGAGCAGTTAAGAGAATGAATTTGCATATAGCGTTCGGATGAGCCAAGGAAGTCAAACCAGGAAGAAAGGAACCAGATGAGAATCATCTAAAAGAGCCATCATCACCTATAACTACGAGCACAGCTTACACACTCCAACCATCCCTTGATGCCCTGGGGTGACAGCAGGCCAGACATTGGGCATGTATATCTTGCCCCTTCCGGAGAGCCCCCCCCAGAGATTTTGGAACATGAACGAATTGGAAAGGTAACGACTTCACCATCCTTGCATGCCAGTGGGAGGTGAGATCGAAACAGTCACTACGGCTATTGGATCGACCGCGGTCACTGCGCGCCACCTGCAGGGACATCACAACGTGGGTGGTCTGCTTACCCAAGTCGATCCTATTTCGTCAGAACACAAGGAATGAGACATGCAGAGCGAGGGACAAGGTAACCCTGTGATCTTCCGAAGGGACGTCACGCTTTGTTTCTGAACTCAATTGGGTTACGGACTTGATGTGCCTGTTGCACTGAGCAATCAAAGATACGCCCCTAGGAAAGGACCCCTTGCATCGGTTGCTGTGGGCGCAGGCATTGGCGGCCATATTTGGCGATGGCCGTACAATTTCGGTAGTGGCTGCAGATATACTTTCGAAGACATCGTTCATTCATTCAGATGGCTGCAATACCAACAGGAGGCATTGTAGAGAATGAGAAAGAAGACCCAGGATGAATGACCACCATGGTGAAGATAATAGTTCGTCTGACCTGTCTATGTTGACCCAACCTTTTCTCAGCGAGGAGCTGCTACTATGACAGTAGGGTCAGTAGGAGGAATTGAAGGGGTGACCGAGGATTATTGTCAATGTATTGGGGCACGAACCAGAGAACCAAAGTTAATTCTTCGGAGGAAATGTCCGTTTAGTTAGATTTAATATTGTCTTCCCAAGATGAGCTTGATCGGCATTTCTAGAAGCAAATACAGAGCATCTCATCTTCCCCATGAGCAGCAAACAAGACAAACTGATCGTTTATCGCCCGCTTTATCGGTGATCCATCAAAGGAGGAAAACGTAAAAAAAAAGTTTCTATGACAGCTGCTCGTCACTATCAGCGTCTCTTTTCCTCTCTATCCTTTCTCTCAATTCTCAGTCAAGTCGTTATGTTGTCTGAGAGCTTTATCGCGTCCACATTGACGTCCGTCAAGACGCCAGCAGCTGCGACCTTGAGAGATGTGGGAATTTGTGTGCAAGAGTGGCAGCCCTCTCTTAACCTACGCTCTACCTTTAAGAAAAGCTCAACAGCGGCCAATTGCCTGGCTGTGAGTCCGTCGCACGTGTTTGCTGCGCAGTCAGAGAAAGCCATTGTTCATGTGTACAGCAGAGAGAAGGGAAACCAGGAAGCAATCGTCCCTTTTCCGGAGCGCATACGCAGCATCGCGCTCGCGGGTGGGAAGAATGGGGATATACTGGTTCTGGGGACAGAAGGTGGACGGTTGATTTTGTGGGAGGTGAGTGAACGAGCTGTTAAAAACTCATTCTGCGTCTCTGCAAGCTCGGATATCTGACTGGGGCCCTTCGACGACAGACTTGCACTGGGCGACAAGTGGCTACGACAGCGTCGCATTTACAGCCAGTGACATCGCTCGTGGTTGATCCCACTTCCAACTTCATTCTTTCGGGATCGTCTGATGCTAGTATCCATGTCTGGTCACTCGTTGATATCCTTTCATTCACGAAACCTCCCTCTGGGCGGGACCGTCAGCAGCCAAACTCGCCCATCCGTACATTCTCAAACCATCGCGCTGCCATTACGTCCATCGCTGTGGGTCATAGCAGCGGTCGCTATAACATCGCTGTGTCCACCTCCAAAGATAACACCGCCATTGCTTGGGATTATCACACCGGACGCCTCTTGCGAACCTTCCTCCTGCCCGCCTCTGCAACATGTTTGACTCTTGATCCGGTTGACCGTGCATTCTACGTGGGATATGAGGATGGTAGCGTCCAGTCAGTCGACTTCTACAAGAGTCAGTCAATACAGCATACCCTACACGATCCTTCATTACAGTCCACGCCGTCACAACCATCAGCAGAAGACCGTTGGCTTGCTCCATCCTCCGACTTCGGTAGTGTCCACTCGCTTTCTCTGTCCTACGATGGAATGACCTTGCTATCCGGACATCAAAACGGAAAAGTCTTGTCATGGAGTGTAGCTCGACGGAAATATGCATCAACACTAGCAGATTACACCCACCCGGTGACGAATATTATTGCACTCCCCCTGGAAGGACTGCCATCTTCCGGAAATGAGCTGAGACGAGTAGCGCACACCATCGTCAAGCCCCGTTATGACCATGCTCTTTCAGAGTCTTCGGGTACGCCTGGCGCGGTCCCTGCTGACTATACATTCAGTACGCATCTGCTCGTCTCTAACACAGCCCGACTCAATTTAAGCGATCATCAAACAAATCAATTCTCTACAGTCTTGACGCACGCTTTCTTCCCTGAGTCAATGATGGAAGAAGGTCTTGCGGAGCTTGCCGCTCTCAAACATTCTGGGAACAACGGAAACCATGTCTCGGCGATTTCGCAATCAGTAGTCTCGGAGCAAGCGGCAATTGTCGATGACTCCCAGATCGCCTCGTTGGAAGAGGAAATTACCACACTAAAGAAGAAACTTGCTGTCAACGAGACGGCCCGCCAAGTTACCACGGATGAGGTGACTAAACTGCGCTCGGACCTCGCCAACCTGCATGACTACGTCAATGAGCTGCATCATAAGCAGGAACAGGCCCATCGCGAAAAGCTCCTGCGTCAAGCTCGAAAAGAAGAGCGCGAGACTCGCAGGCGGGAAGCCTGGCTTGCTGCCGAGAAGAAAGGAAAGAAGGGCGATGCCGTACTTCGGCGGATGGAATTGGAAGAGGAAGCTCAGACTAGCGAAACCGATGATCAAAGCAGTGACGAGCAATGATTGTCGCTTCTATCTCCTATCTTCCCCTTCCACTTCCCTTCCGCTTCCCTTTCCCTTCCTTAGAGTTCTCTGTTATGACACTAGGTTTCACTGCATCTGCATACATATCGTTCGAATAGACTTCCAGGAAAGGCGCAATGGGCTAATGGTTTGGGCAAACTACATATGCTGAACATTTTGCATGTGTATATAGTCATGAACCCACCAAGGGTCTAAAGCATGGACTCAATATATAAAACTATCTCAATCGTCTCATCCCTTGGACAAAAGTCCAGAACTCCTAACACCCACAACAGACGTGTATTCCAGGCCAACCCAACATCAGTAAGTCCATCGAACGCATGGACAACCGCCACATAGCGATATTAACGCTCAGTCGCCAATAATTCAAACCTGAAGGTGCTATCATCGTTTCGGCCGCACGCCAGAAGCCGACAGATAAAAAAGCAAGAATCTAAAGAGGGGTCCCTGTATCAAGGGGCTTGGGCACTGGCTCCTCCATCCTCCCTTGCTCTGAACTCTCATCAATTGGTCCATTGCCACCGTAAAAGCAAATTGAAGGGAGCAGGCATTCCTCGGATGTCAGAAATAAGACGTCAGAACGTACAGCCTCGTGTGAGATCACCAACCAGGAATGCTTGGCTGACGGGTCTGGAAGTCGAACCTGTTTCATGGGGAAGACTTCAGACACATTCTTTGATCCAATCTGAAACGAAGAAGAGGCCAGACCAGAGCTTACAACAGAGTAGAATAGCAACCTCACCTACCTTCCCGCCCTGCCAACCCAAAGAAGCATTGAACGGATTGCTTCTTCGGAGCCTCGCCGTAGTCGCACACCTCATTGACGGGGAGATGATATATCCAATTTGGTAGCAGTCCGGTGTGCAAAGATTGAGATGCATACTCAGGTTCTTGCGTAGGGAGGGTAGTGTCTCTAAGTACGTATACAGGTCTGCAAGCAGGCGAGAAGGGTGAGAAAGCAGTCCGATTTGTTGGGTGCTGAAATTTCCCCATCTCAATCACCAGCTTCACGACGAGTGCATTGTTATCGTCACCTATACAATGCCATGTTCAAGGCAGAAGGCGTCCAGAGCATATGCGATGTACCCGGAACGCAGGGTCTTGCCCAATTGTTTGAGCCTGAATATGACAGATTTGTCCACAGTCTGATTCTGAGAAGTACGGAGGACATATCCTCGATATTGACACTAAGCTTCTCATTCACTGTATGATTCCACTCTCTACGGTCACTCGGTGTATAGGCAGCAGATGCTCTTGAAATGAAGGGAGCGTCATGGCTGCCATCGCAAACGTCGATATTGAAATCATTGCAATGTTTTAGCCTTTGCAGGTTGTCGCCTCTGCAAGTCATGCGATCGAAGTATGTCGAATAACTGCCGAAAAGTACTTGCCTTTGGTGAATAACTTCGGTAGGTGAGAGTTGTCTTTGTCTTGGCAGCAACGCCTTTGGAAGGACGGGGGTAAAGGGAGTTGGATAGACGGATGGATCATCGTCAATAATGATTGCAGATCTTTTTCATCCTCCTTCGATCAAATGTCCGTCCGTGTGGAGAACAAATTAGCAGCTGATGGGTATTTGTTGATAACGTGCTCAACCAGCTATCCACCCAAACAGCAATGTAGTGATATCCATTCCTACGCTGTGTCTTACAGTTACTAGTCAAGTACATAGCTTCAGACATTTGAAAAGTACTATTCTTCTGACGACAAGCTCAGTCTCAGTAGCAAGCAATAGACTACCTTCGTTGAGGCTCGCTGCTGATCGCCGTACTAGTAAGCTGCAGGTGTGGCCGGCTGCGTCTCCTTTCCTGCGAGCTGGTTTACAATATTCACCCCTGAACTCGTTCCAATGCGATCTGCGCCTGCTTTCAACATCTTGATACAGTCTTCCGCGGAGCGAACTCCTCCACTGGCTTTCACTTTAGTTCCCTTTCCTACCAGCTCAACAACAGCCCGCATCATAGCGACGTCGTCAACATTGGCCCCCGCTCCCTTGAATCCTGTACTGGTCTTGACAAAGTCGGCCCCGGCCATGCTCGATATGACAGAGCCAGCAATAATCTCATCCTTGGTCAATTGCGAAGTCTCCAGGATCACTTTCAGCTTGACCGGCGATGGCGCCCCTTTCCGCACTTCGAGGACGTCGGCGTAGACATCCATGTACTGTCCTTCCTTCAATTTTGGCCAATTGATCACCATGTCTAGCTCACTCGCTCCAAGTTCTGCGGCGTCCAGCGCCTCCTTCTCCTTCTCCATGGTGTCATGCGTGCCTTCAGGGAACCCCACGACGCAGGCCACAGTGCACTCCGGGCTACTCTGGAGATTTGTAACGGCTCTGCGGACATGTCGCAGGCGAACGCACACCGCAGCGAAGTTGTATTTAGCGGCCTCCGCGCAGAGCTTGTCGATGTCCTCGTCTGTCGCATCTAAGGACAGCTGGGTGTGGTCGATGTACCGGTTCACGGAGGACGGAAGTGGGGTTTGGTATACGGGATAGACCTCCGGAAGCTGGTCCTTGTAACTGGAGATCACGGCACCCCATTCGGCATTGTTCGCAGGGAGAGTCATGGTGCTGGAATATGTGCTGACCTGGAGAAAACTCACACCGTCAACGCTATCAGTGGGCCAACGCAGTTTTGCTGTTGCGTCCCTCATCAACTGCGGAGAACCCCGATGAGTCACGTGACATATATTTTACTGCATCATGATGAGCTATATGGATGCTGATGTCCTCTGTAGTCATTATTCGCCTCCAGAATTAACCATGGATGCGGATGGAATCCCCGAACACCTGCTCTTCCAGCAGGTATGCCAGAGATAACGAGTCCACAGCCGTAGTGTCCCATGCATAGACCAGTCTTTATCAGAACAATCCGAGCTTCCATGGATGAACGGAAATACATCATATACGGCGCAGCGGGAGATGGCCTTTATATGCACACTGATGGCAAAGACGTACGCCGAAGATGTCACTATCTTCACTGTAATAAAAACCAAATCCCTGTGCCACGTACAAGACACACCGGTTCTCGTGACGCAACCTAACAAAAGCATCGCTAAAGGACAAGCCACAAAACACCCCTACCCAACCTCAACGGCAGCTTTTACACTCCGGCCCTCTAATATCGTCCACACGCCCAATCCTGCGAGGCCCAAATCCACCTCCAGGTCCGCCGCCGCCGCCGCCGCCTCCAGAGCTAGGACCACTGCCTCCCCAGCGAGGCCTAGCATTGTGACGGTTTCCTGACCGCGATACATTGAACTGGGAATTCTGAGCGGCAGTATAGGGATCGAGCTATGAAGGTCAAATGTCAGTAACTGACGTACAATATGCGGAGTGAATGATCCGGCGAGGCGCGGAGAAACGACCAAGTCAGAGATTATCGACGGGGCCTAACATACCGAGAAAAGGCTCACGAAATATAAGCCGAGGAAGAAGTAGATATTCTCGAAGAAGCGTAGAATGCGAACGGAGAGGGGAGGACTAAAGTGGGATGGCATTAGTCTTCTGCCTTTCGCTTTCTGGAAGCGGCTATCGTATCCGTACCTTGCGAGCACCTGCCCGTTCGAGAGATATGTCTTGTTGTCTGCTGGCATGTTGCAGTCGGTGCTGTTCGATGATAGATGGCAGTTGAGATGGTTGATGCTGACAAGAGCTGACTTGAGGATCCGCGGAGCGCTGTGGATGCCTAGGGGCGGAACCCGTGACTCCGTATAGATCCCTGTACGGAGAAGATATATTTCACGCAACTACCTCAAGCCCTGCTTCTGAAGGGGTTCGCGGCAGTACTTCTCAATCTTCTTCACTTTAACAGGTATTTCAAGAATTAAAACAAGCCTGAACCTACATTTTGGTTTAATGCAAAAGCTAAATGAGCAATCAACGTAACCATTTCATAGTGTTGAAACATAATCTATATGGGTATCTCTATCTCAAGTCGAAGACCTGTTGAAACAAAACTCCCCGCCCATGACATGATCTCTCATAACTCGTGTCCAAAAATTCACCGAATGCAAATGCTAGCCTTATCAAGAGGCATTCAGCACACTACCGTCCCTCATAGACTCATCCAAAACAGTATGCAATTCATCCAGGCCTCGGAATCCCTCCTCAACGATCCATTTTTGACCGCTGGGTCGGTGTAGAACGTGACAGCTGGCTCCCACAATGAGCAACCCGGGGGGACGAGACCCCTCAGCTTCAAATGCCAAGCAGACATGCTCAAGAGTTGAACGAATAACCCGCTGATCCGTGCATGAAGCCCGTTCCACGATGGCGCATGGAGTGTCCTTGGGCCAGGCCGTTCTCGCACGGGAGTTGTCATCTGCCGCCGGTAGGGTGGTCAGTGATTCCACAAGTGCAGACAGTCTATGCAGTGTCATCAGGAAGACAACCGTCTGAGTCGGTACGTAAGTAGGAGGCTCTGGAGCTGCGCCTTTCCTTCCGGTGCCGGTGCAGACTAGAACCTGGTCCGAAACACCACGATGGGTAGCAGGGATATCCGCGAACAAGGGGGCACTGAGCGCGCTAGTGATTCCGGGAAGAACCATGGGTGTAAAACCTTCGCCTCGGAAGTACTCAAACTCCTCTCCTCCTCGACCATAGAGATACGGGTCACCCTGTTTCAGCCGAAGTACGTACCGCCCCTGGCGTAGTGCTTCGATTCCCATTTGCATAAACTCTTGTTGTGCTTGATCCGCGTTTCCGGGGAACTTCCGCGCAATGTGGACTTCAGTCCGGCGCGGGATCAAGTCCAAGACCGGAGCAGGCACAAGCTTATCCGCCAATATAATGTCTGCATTCTGAATCGCATGATAAGTTGCGCGAGTGAGTAGATCAGGGTGACCTGGGCCAGAGCCAGCCAGGACAATCTTTCCCTTCTTAGATAACAACGCAGCCCCATTCATGTCGCTGGCATTTTCTTGACCAGCGGAGTAGGCCTGAAGGATTCTTTCGATATCAGAATCGGTGATAGTGGCGAGTTTGCGTAATGGCCAATACTCGCAAATCTGAGAAAGCCAGCGCATGCGTCTTGTTTTGGCGGCCGATTTGTCATGCTCTGTGACCAAATTGTTGAAAGTATGTTTTTGGCCTGTCGAATCATCGTCGTCGCCGTCGAAAAGGCCATCGCAGAGTCCTGCAGCGTAGTCTTCTGCCCAAAGACGCTTTCTTACCGCACCGAGTCTGTCTATGGCGGTCCCAAGGTTCGGAGGAAGCGAAGCAGAAATTTCCCTCCTCAGGCGAGAAGCGAGCTTGCAGCCACGGCCAGAAGTCGTAATTCCGATGTGCAGAGGGCCATCTGAGTACGTAGAAAGCAAGCTGAAGGAACAGAGATCCGATGCGTCAGACACATTCACGGGAATTCTCAGCCGTCGGCAAAGCTTCGAAATGTGGGAACCTATAGAAGCGTCAACAACCACAAACGCTGCTATAGGAAAAATTAATCAATGCTTACTCAACGGGTCACTCCCGCCGAGAGTGACAAACACCATGTCGACAACATGGTCGACTTCTTCCCTCCCAAGGGTGGTTAAATCAGCGTCTTGGAACGCTCTGCGTATCCATTGCGCTGAGCCATCTTCGAAGCGCTCGGTCAGTGCATAGTGCACATCGACCGTATCTGGTGCGATGATGATAGGTTTCGCTCCCACGCCTACACTCTTGGCACAACGGGCTCCTGCTAAAGGGTTCGTCCCAATAATTAAGTGCACCTGATGTTCGGTGTTCATAGCCATCAGCAAAGGCGCTTGACAGCCATTGTCGCAAGACGCATCCTTCATCGTGACAGATTGCCACCGCAAGCAATGCCCAATGCGAAGAGCTTTGATTCTCTTCTATGAGGTAGAAAACGTGAATATGAACGCCGCAGAAGGGTTGCTTTGACTCTTATATCTAGCCCAACCGCCTTCGATCCTCAGCCTTAAGAAAATGGGCTCGAATCGCTTTTTGAATTTCCGCGGAAATACCAAACCCAGGATGAAGCTTATTCATACGCTGGAGATAACAGTGACTCCCCCCAAACGATTGTCGCAGATGACAGGACCGATAAGCTTATCAAGAGTATTATAGAACAGAAATTCAAAGAGAATCTGTCAAGTGCAACAACGAAAACAATTGACTTTTTAGACATTCATTTATTTCCGCTGGTTTGTACGCCGTGGAGCCCGAAATAGTTAATGTGATATTGCGTGATCGTACCTTGCGCTTATCTAAGCCTCCCAGCGATGTTACCAGGAACAGATGGGATAGACTGATAAGGAAATCACATTAACGATAATAATAACGGGTCCATTTGGGGAATCGACAAGAGACTGGTGGAAAGGATCTTAATGGCAGCCAAAGCAAAAGCCTTCATGCTGGTAGTGACCATACGTCCTCCATCGTAATCTTGACTGATCCTTATCGCCATGTCCCAAGCATCAGTTGAACATTACATCGTGTGAGCTTCGATAAAGACATATTCTAAGGAGGCTAAACACCCTGAAGCTGCCGTCAATTTCTCAGGACTTCCGTTGTGAGGGCATCGGATCACGAAACAGCGATGTGCATGAGAAAGGCAGGTTTGTTCAGGATTGCGAGAATGTAGAGACACTGGGCTTGTCTGTAGTTCGATCGCAGTGATGCCGTGACACGTGACACGAAGCTTCCGCCAGCTTGAGCTGGTCCGCAGAGCAAGGCGCAGGTACACCGTACACACTGTCAGAGCTTCAAGTTCCTCTATCTAGAATCTATTTCAAACCCAATCAGCACTCTTCTTCCAGATTTATTTGTACCTCTGGGATATAGAAATACAGGCACTTCTAATTTCCACGCATCAGAACGATCATTTCAAGAAGTGACGTCTCAGCGCTTGTCACCATGTCCGACGGAGGCCTCTTGAAGCCGGAGAAGGATTTCTCGAAGGATGCTGACAAGCTGATCCCAGAGGCAGAGCAGCTGGCAAAGGTTTGAAACATTTACTCTCTGGTGTTGATTTACTAATCTCCCTAGTCCGATGTTGAAGCCGCCATCGATAAGCTCCTGGTCCTTGAGAAGCAAGCACGACAGGTATGCCATCATACTCGATCCTACCTTCCTGACGACTCAGACTAACCTGACACTCGATCAGGCTTCTGATCTCGCTACTACTTCACGGATTCTTGTCACCATCGTGACAATCTCCAAAGACTCGGGCAACTGGAATCTCCTCAATGACCAAGTGCTCCTGCTCTCCAAGAAACATGGACAACTCAAACAGGCCACAACGAGGATGGTCCAGACGGTGATGAAGTTTTTGGATGAGACACCTAGCGTGGATGTGAAATTGTCTGTGATCGAGACGCTGCGAACCGTGACCGAGGGCAAGGTAAGTACTCCATAACAGGCCCGTCGCTCCAGTACTCTTGTTGCTGATACCTCTTGCAGATTTTCGTCGAAGTAGAGAGGGCTCGTGTAACACGCATTTTGTCGAACATCAAGAAATCACAGGGTGACGTCAATGCTGCCGCCGACATCCTTTGCGAGCTGCAGGTGGAAACCTTCGGTTCCATGACGAGACGCGAGAAAACAGAGTTTATCTTGGAGCAGGTAGCTCTTTGCATAGAACGTGGTGATTGGTCACAAGCTGCGATCTTGAGCCGCAAGATCAACAAGAGATACTTCGCACGCAAGCCAAAGAAGTCAGCAGAGGAAATCGAAAAGCTCAAGAAGGCGGCTGAGGAAAGAGAAAAGACACGTGCTCCCGATGAACCTCCCATGGAAGTCGACGAAGATGTGACAGATCTGAAGCTTCGCTATTACGAACAACAGATCATTCTCGCAAATCACGACTACAAGTATCTGGATGTTTGCAAACACTATCGCGAGGTCCTGGACACGGAATCAGTGCAGAATAACCCGGAGCAACTGCGAGCAGTAAGCCGATACCTAACCTGTCTTCTAATGTGGAAACTGACAATAGTTACCAAGGTGCTTGCCCGCATCGTCTACTACATTGTCCTCTCTCCATACGACAATGAACAGTCCGATCTGCTGCATCGCATTCGGCAAGATTCCAGACTCTCCTTAGTTCCTGTTGAAGCTCGCCTGATCAAGCTCTTCACCGTCCCAGAGCTGATGCGTTGGCCCATGGTAGCCGAGCAGTTTGGTCCACATCTCTGCAACACGGACGTGTTCAACGCGCAACCCAGTCAGTCCGCGGAGGATCAGGCACACAAGAGGTGGCAAGATCTCCGCAAGCGTGTCATTGAACACAATGTCCGCGTGGTAGCCAAGTACTACACTCGCATTCAGATGGGCCGTCTGACTGAACTCCTCGATCTGACCGAGGAAGAGACAGAGAAGTACATCAGCGAGCTGGTGACATCAAAGACCATCTATGCCAAGATTGATCGTCCAGCACGGCTGGTCAATTTCGCCAAACCTCGAGATGCCGATGATGTGCTGAACGAATGGAGCAGCGACATGAAGAGCCTTCTTGGGTTATTGGAGCGCATTGATCATTTGATTACCAAGGAAGAGATGATGGCCAGAATTCTTCCATCCCGCGGGGAGAAGGGCAAGGCTCGTTGAGATCATCTGGCCAGTGCCGCATATGTGGATAGCGGTCATGACTGGATTGGGCTCTAGATATTTTGCAACAGCGTGTAAAATATTCTGATAGTGAACGACCCACGGATTAATGCGTACGCAGATCCCAATCCCTTGTAGCATAGACCTTATTGTCTCTGGCACTGATCGCAATTGTCTTGTTGTATTCTTCTAAGGCACGATGCTTCTAAGTCTATAGACATGATCTGAATAGTCGAGTCAGATATATACAAAGCGGGTAGTAAGGTCAAAAATGGCGACCCAAGTCTAAAATGGCAAATCCATATCTCTAACGTCATCTTCCTTTGCATCCGCCTTCGCTTGCTTTCCTTCCAGTTGCTCTTTGATGAACCGCACCGCAGCATCCAAATACGGTCTCTGACTAGGCAAAAAGTGCCCACCAGGATGCCAGACAACCTTCCCCTCCTTTTCCGGCTCACCAGCGCAGGCTTCGACCAGTGCACGACTGCGTGTATCATCAACAACAGCATCTAACGACCCCAGGACATGCAGAATGGGCGTTTGAATAGGTGGATTCTCATAGAACGGCCGATACCGCGGCCCCGGCGACCGAAACCCACTATAACACAACGCAAACTTCAAAGGCGGATGGCCCGCTTCCTCAAACGACGCAGGAAACGCGACACCCGCAACAGGCTCCTTGACCTCGAACCCCTCCGAGGCAACCTTGGGATCCGCGAAATGCTCGAATGCCTCCTTTCGACCGGGCTCAAGCAGCGACGCAACCATGGCGGCCATCGCGGCGCCCTGCGAGAACCCGATCACGCCGTCGAAGGGCCCTTCCTCGCGGAGGACTTTGGCGATGGCATCCAGGCCGCCTTCAAGGCCGACGTAGAGGGGTGGATCGGCAGTGTTTGAGCGGCGGTACCACCCGTATGCTTCTATTTGCTCCTGCTGCTGTTCTGCGGTGGAACCCTCTGCGGGCGGCTCGTAACCTGGTATGTCGGAGGGGTTGAGGCGAGTAGGGCCTGTTGGGTAGATGGCGGAGACTTCGTGGAGGGGAAATGCCTTTGTGATATGCTTGATGAGGGCGCGGCTTTTGGCGTGGAATAGGGTGCCGGACTGCGTGTAGCCGTGAAGCATGAGGAGTTTGAGGGGTTGACGGGGCGCCATGATGAGGGATGGGGCCAGGTAGACGAGGGTCACAATTAGCAAGAGGGTATGCAGATTCTCTATAAAATGTCCATGAATGCGAAAGTGAAGCTGAATGCTCGATATCTCTTGGCCCAATCTCTAGACAAGGTATCTCTCTAGCGCAGTGGGAAACTCCTGTGCGATAAGATAAGGCGCGGCAACTTTTCCTTGCCTTGATTTTGGAGTAGCTCCACCACTTCTACTGACTCCATGAGGTATCGAATTCGATCTTCGTCATCCAACATCGCCTAACCTCATCGACTGATCGCTTACTAGTTACTAATAATTTCCCGCAAACGACTTCTCACTCACCACAAACGCAGCACTGTCCATCTAGGCCGCTACGTCATCAAAATGAGCGCTGAACAGCTCGAATTCAACGTCGACCGCATCGACGCCAAAATGGAAGAGCTCCTCGCGTACGTATCTGCCTGCAAGCATCACCAACAAGCTAGCACACGCACGCCAATCGTCGGCCATCTCATCTTAGCGTCACGCCCAGCCTGAGTCAGATGGTTCATCGCTAATATGCGAACTGTGCCAACAAACAGATCCTTCGAGGCCCACCCGCAGATGCAGCCCCCCAGCACCCACCCAACCCTCTTCTTCCTCTTCGATTTCGTCCGCAACACCCACCGCGAACTGCAAGAAATTGATATGGACAAGTTCCGCGCGGGCGACGCCAACGCCCGCAGCATGGCCCAGGACGTCCTTGGCCGGAACAACTTCACCAACACCCTCGTCAACGATACCACGGGTAAGCTGGCGCTGATGACCGGCGGCGATCCGAACAACCCCGTGGACTTTGGAGAGGAGATCCGGGAGAAGGCGAAGGCGCTAGTTGAGGTTTAAACTTCGTTTTGAGTGTTCTGCCCATTTTTCTGGCTATCGCTAGGGGTTGGCAGGAGACTGGAGGATGGATGGGCCACGAAGGGACAAGGAGCTGGTTCTTCTGCCCTAGTTCGCATCTCCATTGTTCCCATCGAGGTCTAGGATGACGAATGGTTCGAGATATCCCGCTTGAAGCTTATAGCAGGCTGATTACTGAATGGCGGGACTCTCGTTAACATTATAGTGTATGAGCAAGTCGAGCACGAATGAAACTTTGTATTGTTGCATGAGTTTCGCTCAGCTGTCAATCGGTGCAGCTTGCCTCTTATCCTGCAGTCTGTCAATAGTGTCATATTTGTAGTTTGCTTAGGGAATCGCGGACTAGGTGGGGCATCTTGGGGCAACCGGGGTAATAATCGATAAGAAAGGCGTGAATGGGGACAAGGCCGATGTCAAAGACGATATACACCTAGCGAGGTAATATCTACGAAAGTGTGTAGCAAATAGCACAAGACGAATGTGGAAACAAGTGCATTTACATATACAATTACATGGGCGACACCAGAGGACTGAAACTAGGGCTTGAGATTCACTACAGCAGTCGAGACTAACTACAGCTTAGCTACAGAATAAACCGTAACAAACTGCAAGCTCTCCTGCCATGAACACTCGCTCCCGCATCATCCACCAGCAACATCGCCCGTCCTAGCGCTGAACCGGCCACTCCAGAGTCCATCCACTGCCGTCAATGACGAACGCTCAGTTTTATCCGACATCTGGGTATCGTTGTAGCCAGCCAGGCTCGTGCAGATGTTGTTCGTTATCGTCAAGAGGAGCCCGTCATCGTCCGTGTCGTTTTTCCAGTGTAACCGAGATACAATCCGTTAATGAGAAGAATCGTCGTACAATATCAACAAGTGCGTGAGAACAAGTGAAAGAACAGAGTTAAGAAGCAACGAGTAGAAGATGTGCAGAAACGGATTGATATAGTGTTGGACCGTGTTCATGTGCCAGATATCCGGAACTCCCCTCCATGAGAATAAAAGCTTAACAGATCGTCAATGCTTTTGGGTGTGGCAATTAACTGCCCGGTAATGCTTTTTTTCGGATCGAACTTTGTAATTTTTTTGAGATTTCCCGCAAAGGGGGCGAGGACTCCATCTTCTATCTGCAATCTGCTCTCTCAAAAAAAAGATTAATCCATCGTCGAGAAAGAACGCCACATTTCCCAAATCATCGCTCCGGCTTTGGTTGCGTCGTAATGTGACATTTACTTCCTCCGGAAGGAGCAGCCCTCAGTGAGTCTGGCCTTGCCACCGGTGGGCTGGCAAAGAACGGTCGAGCAGCCGGCGCAGACGACGACGGTCTGGGCGTGGGAGAAGACGGTGGTGATGGTGAAGCAGCCGGGGCACTTGACGTCCATGAAGAAGGAACGGGGAGCAGGCACAAGGGTCTATTTGTCGAAGCGATTCCCAACATCAGCCATCGGATCCGAGACCTTGGTGGACTTGTATTTCGGTATCATACCTTAAGCTTGTGCTTGCGAGCCTCAGCCTGAGGAGTAGGGTTGAGGAGGTCGACCGCGAGAACCTATTGCAAAAGAAAGAACTTGTGTTAGCCGATGATCTTTGATGACTTTGTGTGATGAGAACCGGTCCGGCGACGGCGAGCACACGACGGGCAGCAAGCTCCTAGTCTGTGCAGACGTCCAGCAGCACGGCTAGGGGATATCCCAAGGTGTTGGATGAAGCCAAATTGCAAGCAGAACCTACCATCTTGACGAGACAAAAAGTCGATCAGCGAAATGGATTGAAATGCTGCGCTGACGGAGATGGCCTGCTTGAGGGGTGTTGAAGCGAAAGAGGTGGTCTCGTGGAGATGGCGAAGTTTGAAGGGAATTCTCTGAGGGCGTCGCCCAGCCGGACCCGTTTGGGGGAGAATAGGGCTCAAACCCTCGCTTACCTTCCTCTTACTGGTAATTTTGACACGGCCCGTGTGCTCGTCCCATCCCCGCCCAAGAGGTAGCCAATCATGTTGTCTGTTATGTTTGTTGAGGTATAGCTTGAGCCCCATTACCACTATTCCTGATTAGGTAGTGTTGTCGCCATCAAGGTCCCATAGTCCGGTCTTTCTAGATCCGTCCAGCTACTTCTTTGTGATGGCAGAGCATAGCTCAAACCGTAACGTATCAAATTCATTAGAAAAGGCTGCTGTTGAACGAACCGCTAATCCAATTTCCGCATAACGTCGAACTCGTCATAGGCTGGTTTCCAGACCAGCTATAATATAGGCACCAGGTAGACCTTATGTACCTGAGGTATAGCTCAATAATCCAAATCGATCTAGATGAAGCAAAACAGTAACCCGACTGAACGGCTCTAGCATACAATACAATACAGTGCGATCGGGGATTGCTTTCCCACTTAAAGTCCTTCATTCATACCTCTTCCCGTCACACATTGGCTGTTATATGTGATTCTGGCATAGTTGATATGCAGCTGAATGGTTGCAGTGGGCAGTCTTTGACCTCATAGGACTTTCTTGGGTTGCCCGTTAGCAACTGGCCGCTCTTCGACATGTGGATACTTGATGGATAAGCACCAGATGTCAATGTAATCACATATTGTAGTGATAACATCGTGCTGGGGATCGTCAGTCTCGACTATGATTCCGTATTGTCAGGCAGCATAACGTACCACAAAACTTCCGTACACACCGATGGCCAGACCCAGACCTCCAAAGAGATAGGCGACTTGACCGGATTCGCTCCCAAGAACACTCTGCCAAAGACCAAGTAAAGACGCAGCACCATCCAGCACACCCAAAGCGAGAGGGGCAATGCCGATGAAGATATGGGAGAAAGGGAAGTCCGCTTTGATCAGGTGTGCAACAATCATGTTGCCCACAGCGTAGGCGTTGATCAAGCCCACTAACAGCATGAATGGAATCGTGTAGTGTTCCAGAATGGTAGGTTGCAAGTATAGGTAGACGGGGGCAAGCGTCCACATTGTAACCAGAGGAATCAAGCCATAAAGAGGTTTAACCGTGTCCTTTCCACGTTCAGCTTGAACCTTCATGACATGCACAATGCTAGACCCAGTGGCAAAGAAGAGGATGATGGCACCGTAGATCAGATACCACTGCGTGAAGGGCATCTCATACAAATGAGCGGGAATCACATCCAACTTGGGAACACCGATCGTCTCAAGCATGGGGCGGTGCCAGAAGCTGCCGCCGCCCTGGTAGGCAGTGAAAGCGAAGACGGTGCACAGAGTCAAGACACCTTCAACGGGACCAGAAATGATTCCCAGAGTCAAAACTTGAGTATAGTATTCATCCCATGTCTGCACATAGAAGGTCATAGTGGCTAACCCGAATTAGTACTCCGATAGAGTAATTCTAGAAGGCAATATCGGCGTACCTCCGAAGAGACTCAGTATAGTAGCCCAGGTCTGACCAAGGTTCGTCACGCCAGCAAAGATGATTACTCCGAGAGCCGTATTGCATGCATCAACACCTGCAGGGAAAGAGAATAAACATCGCGCTTTCTCTTCGTTCTTGAACCACACCCCCGGGCGGACGTTTTACTTACTGTGGTCAAACAGCTCCCCAAGGGGGCTGCTTTGTCTTGTTCTCCGCCTGTGGACAAGACTCAGTCAATCTAGTCTACTAGCAGATGGGAAGGAGGACGGGAGTCCATACGCTTGCATGCCGTCTACTGCATCGAATGTCTGATACAGGAACAACCCAATGGCGCAACTGGCATAGACCCATGGAGGGCAATCGTGATCTAACGTTGGGTTGTACCATAAGATGGTGATGAAGTTGATTACCACAAATAAGAACCCTGTCAGGGTAATCTACCAATCCTCAGTTTGGTCTGTTAAAGCTCGATCAGCCAGGAGGACTAGAGACTTACGGCATTAGGCCTGGATAAAAAGACGTAGAACACTACTGTTAGCTAGGCCAGGTAACTGAAAGGGTTTAAATATCATTGGGGGCGTAGCTACTCACGCCATGCCCATGGGGAAACAGTTGATCACGCATCGGTTATAGAACGGCTTGAGGACATATCGACTAATCAACGAGTGATCCACTCCAGCATATCGATAAGACTTGAGGTTTGGCAATTGATGCTGCCGAATATAGGTCATCTTGTCGACCTTGCTTCAGCCCCGGGATAGTCTATGGGAAGTATGCTCAGGAGTGCCGCTGCTTCGCTTTTGTTACGATCAGAGAGTAGCCAAGCCGGCGGTGAATCCTAAACTTCAAGTACAAAGAAGGTCGAGGTAACCAGAGGAGGCCAAAAATTAAAGATCGAAAGTTCAGTGTATATTATAAAAGTAAGGCATCGGTGGAACTCCTAGCAAAGTAATGGCGACGACGAGGGATATTGAAAAAGGACAGATGGACCGCTGCTCTGGATTGTTGACGTTCCCTTTTAGCACCAAACTTCTGTCTTGTCTACTTTTTTTTCTGCCGGCGGAAAAACAGCCTTGAGGGCGGGATGCGGGGCCAAAGAAACCTACCGCATGTATTCGAACTTACGGTACTTTACGCTTAGGTTTCTTAGCTCAAGGTTGCACGGATGCATTGGATGCATGGAGTCGATGAATCCACGAATGGCATAAAGATGGATGATTAACTAGACATGCTGTTATCAGGCTTGAACCGAGGTCGGTGTTATCCTAAGCTGTAGAAGTGCAGTGCGTTTTCTGTATTGAACGTCACGTGATTAGTGTATTTGAACCTTGTGACCAACTGGCAAAGCATTTTGCACGTGAAGCACGTAAGTCCAGCCACTATCTAGGTACTACCCAGAACTTTCAAAGGGAGAGCAGCAAGCTACGAGTGAAACGGCGCCTGACTCAGCTTGTCGCAGTCCACAAAAAGCGGGGTAAAACTGGGGGAGACTGATCATAATCAGATGCCGCAGTAGTATGGAATAAGTGCTGTTGTGCCAAGTTGGCTACTAAGACACGGATTCTTTCCTGATCCGAGGAAACACTTGCGGATGCAGGCAAAGCGAAGGAGGGAGAGAAAAGGCTCTCTAGGTAGATCGCTAAATACAACGTTGAGGAAAATGTTAGGAACAAGATAGATACATAGTTAAAACGCCATGGTGTGGTTTATAAGCTAAGTAGGCATAGTAGCAGAATACTGTGGAGGGTGTACAGAACCACAGCGTGCCAGTGAAATCAGAGAGCTCGTCTCCATAAAGCAGCAGCCCTGGCAGCTACCACTGTCTGTCAGTCGCACTTTCTCCCCGACGCTCTACAATCTCAATCATGGCACTCAGAACCTTGTGTGCAGGAACCCAAGCCAGTACGGCTCCGGTCGCTTGACTACCACGATCACACAAGTGGACAACCTGGTTACGTGATTGCAAGCTCTATAAATCTCCAATGCTCGGACCGATTTAGCCAACGGGGCTCCATGGCATGGGGATCAGAATCCGGCTCTGCATGCTTTGAATGAGTGGCACCGTCTTGTGGACTGTCTCTGCCCAGCCTTCAATGCCCCACGACTGCTCGCGACGGATCTTGCGCTCCTCCAAATTCGCAAACTGCCAAAGGTGGTGGACTGTGTTCAGGTCACCAATCTGGACGAACCATGCACCGACACCCTCCATAACTTCACGGCGCGCCCTCAAGCCGCGGCGCCAGTGTGTTTCCCACTCAAGCAAGTTTCCAGGGTGAAGGGTGTAGGACCGAAGCTCAAAGAGACCACCGAGGCGGCGTGGAGGAGTTGTTGGCCAAAAGGAGAATTCCTGCATCAGGGACGTCTTCTTGCTCTTGATCAGACTCTTCAACTTGCGGTCAAATGCTGGGAACTCGGGATGTTGAGAAATGTTATGCAGAGAGGCATGGTAGCCCTCGTAACGCTGGTACTCCCAAATGTGCACTGCCGGAAGGCTACGTCAGCAATGGAAAGACTCAATAGAGACGGCTTCAACGGAAGGGGGCCCATGGGAAATTTTTGTTTTGGAGTTATAGAGGAAAATACCGAATGTGTCATTATCTCCCACTTGCGTGCGCCAGCTTCCAACCAGATTAACCCTGTTTTCTTCGGTGTTGGCCATGCGGGGATACCACTCGCCGACGAGAGCGACATATTCATCTACTTTGTCGGGTTTGACGTCGTGGAAGACAATCGAATGGACGTATTTGCCGCGAGCGAGGACTTGCGAAAATGAACGCTCGATGTCCTTGTCGAAATGCTGGCCTTCCTTCGTTCCGTAAATAAGAGAAGACAAGGGGCCACGCTTGGGAGACTGGTTGGCTTCTGACAACTGCTCGTCTCCTACAGAACGGTGGGTGGAAAGTAAGCCCAATGCCTTGCTATCAAGAACGCTGGCGGCATCAACAACAGGGCTAAGTTCACTGCTCGCATTGCTCGGTCGGGGAGCAGTGGGAGCGGTAGCGTACTCACGGAAGCGATCACGAATAGCAGGGGAAGCTGGGGTAGAACCAGAAGCATCGACAGACTGACTCTCTTGCTGTTCCCTCTTCTTGCGAGCTGCCTCCAAATTCTCGCGGAACTCCTTCTGACGCGCGTTAAATTCAGCGGCCGAGTCGGGTGTAATGTCACGGATGGAAGGAGCCCGATAGACGGTGGTAGACGAGCAGAATGGCCGTACGAGCGATGACACCGGGCGGACAAAACGCGGGGCGAGCATGTTGGGCTGAATGTACAAGATGCCCAGGAAGACAACAAGGAGAGAATCAAAGGATTGGCAACTGAGGCACAGTGCAGCAAATTGGTATGGTCTGACAGTGGATTAAATGACTCGGTTGAAGGGACAGTCGAGGGGGGGAAAGGAAGGATTCACAAGGAGCAAAGACAGCAGAAACACAGACAGCGGTTGTTCAAAGAGGGGAAGCACAAAGAACAAGCAGTGATATTTAATATTAATGAAACTGGCACGCGATCTATTGACGAAACAGCTTTAAATCTGGAAAGAAAGCTGCAGAGACACTGTACTTGGTAATATGTGTGCGGGTTGTTGCACAGAGGCAGTTGCTTTTTGTGGCGTGGGAGTTAAGTAGCAAGCACAGTGATCAGCCAGGTGGATGTAGGAGCGGAGAAGCGCTAGTCACCCAATCAGACTGCTATGAATTGGCAACAGATACAGGTAATGAAACTGGTATATTCAGATGGCTGATACAGAATACTAGATGTGGTTAATTATTGGTAGACCAATGATTGTGGAAGGAAATAAATGAGATGGACAAGCGCGATGAGGAGATGGTCTCAACTGAGTGGAAAGAAGCTGGGGAAAGCAGCTTACTCTGAGACCGGAGTTCCTTAGGTTACCGTAGGACCTATGGTAGCTAAGTACTGGAAGTGCGGGGAAACAAAGCCCAGACAATGTACTGCCACTGCGGAGTAGTATTCTCGCAGCCTTAGGTAAACTGCAAGGAGGAGTTGATATCCCAGGTAAAAAACAAAGCTGCAAGAGCTACAAGAAACGGAAAATGTAGATAGATGTAATGTACTACTCTGTAGAGGTGGCTCTAGTTCTCAGTCCTGCTTGTGCTAGCTAGCTGAAAGGCCACCATACTAGAGTAACGACTGATGACGACAGTGGTGTATTTATGAAGGTCCCCGTCCAGAATGTTCATCATTAATCGTGATAAATGTTTACCCTGAAGAGCTCCATCTCGCTTCTCTTATCGGTTTAAATCTGCATGCCAATTTGCCTCTACCGCAGATGCTCGAGTCGACAGCTTTAGTTCCTATTTTGTCCCGGCCCGACCGTCCGAGATTTGGTGACGTCGATGGAGAAGCTCCTACTCTAACCGTCTTACTAAGGCCCCTCTGGTACTACCTCTTACAGTAAGGTGTCAAGGCAGCTCCCATCCATCGGCGATCCAGGCTCGGCCGCAACCAGTCAAAATCACCGCCACAGCTACTTCTCCCTCTTCATTGCATTCCCCTCCACCGAGATAACCCACTTGGCTGTGTACCGCCTAAGGTAGTACAGTGATCACTACGGATACTGTGATCTGGTATTCCTTTCGCCAGTAAAGTAAATACTGGGTGCATCACCAATTCTTTGAATCCTTCACATATATTTCACCAGAACACAATGACGGATTCTTTGAATCCACCGCTCTCATACGAGGCTTCGGCCACGACCACTCATCCTCTTGTCGCAACTACTCTCCCTTCCGAGGTAATTGCGTGTTTGAAAAACTCCAGATTCGTGCGTTGCTGCTCTCCTTCACTTAATCAATGTGTTCTCCTCGCCAGTATCGACTAACTGATTCTGGACAGCTCCATCTTGCAACTTGCGATGGCCTTACTCCCCACATCTCTCTCATGTCCTACACCTATCTGCCGTCAACCCCCTTCGATCCATATCCGACAATCATTATGACAACGAATCCATCGTCACGCAAGACGAACCATCTCATGACCAATCCACGAGTCTCTCTTTTAGTTCATGACTGGGTGTCTCACCGTCCCCCCACCCGCGCCCCAAACCCCAGTGGGCAACGCGATGGTTCCCCGCCGCCCGTTGCAACCCGGTCGTCCTTGGCTAGTCTGCTCCTCAATCTGAACACCAGCGCACTATCCAGCATTTCGACAACTATCACTGGTACCGCCCGATTTTTGGAAACTGGTTCGGAGGAAGAAGCCTGGTGCAAAGAGAAGCATCTGGAGAACAACACTTTCGAGGAAGAGCTGGGTATGTTCGGTCAACAGCAGCAGGCTGCTGGTCATCGGAGACCCAGTCTATCGATTGACAATGACGTACGGGTTGTCACGGTCCGGGTAAGAGAAGGTCGCATTGCAGATTGGAAGGGTGGCGTACGGGATTGGAAACTGGTGTCTGAAAGCGAGCAACAAGTCGACGAACCACTTGTCAACGGGACCGTGACTCCATAGGCTCAGCCATTCGGTTCAACACCTTGACGAGGAGTCGTCAGTTTCTTGAGCAGCCGTTGACCTTTGCACAAAGCTGATTATGCTGCACACTAGGGTTTTTTGAGTACATGGCCGTGCATGCATACTCTTTTCAATCCATGTCCGTTGAAGTCTGTCTCAGCAATTAGGCTTCCCGAGCCGTAAGAATGTATTTTATTTATGTAAGAGGGAGAATCGACGTATATATTCGATCGCAAGCACAATTGATAAAATCTTGTAC